AGCTGGGGCAGAAAGGCAAGCTCTGGAGGCAGACATTCCTGCTGACCTTCGCTGGGCTGTCCAGGGTGACCTCTTCCCAGCTTTTGAATTCCAAATTGATTTGCGACTCAGAGGCCTGACAGGATGAACAATTGTCCCAGTTTGCCGGATCAAGGTGTTCCCAGAACATGGGGTTTCAGTGATAAGATGGAGAGTGCCGGTTCCCTTAGGTCTGCGGCACTAGGTCAACTGCGTGTGACCTAGTATGAGAGCATTCAACATTTCCTGGGTGAATCAATCTGTCATCTGGGGCAGAGAACGTCTAGGTGGTGTAGTCCCACCTTGTGCTGGCAGGCCTACAGTGTAAACATGTCCCTTCACTCCTCTGCATCTTAACTTGCTTTTAATCTTTATTATAAATCAGTCAGGATGAAGCTTTAGTCCCAATAAATGAATAGCTGAATTGCAATTAAGAAACAGGGTTGGTACCAAGGAGGAATGGCTATACATAATGTTTTTGAACAGCATCCTTAAACTACTCTTCCCAATTAAAGAAACATTTCAAGTATTTATTACGTGCCAAGGACCACGGACAATTCAGGCACACATCTTACTTATCAGCCGCCCGCACAGAACTGGCAACCCCAAGGAGAGCCAGATACAAACGCAGTTAGCTATGTTTGCTCTCAAGCATCGCTAGGATGCGTGAAAGGCCGTGAGAGCCAGGGAAGGGCAGTAGTGTTGTTCTACTTACCAAGTACTAACCACTGCAAAGTCAGCATATGACTTAACATTTCCTAAGTGCTTTCTGTGTGCCTAATCGGTAATTTTTATAATTCCATTATGGTTACTCTGTGAATGAGGAGAATGAGGGTTTCAAAATCTTGCTAAAGGTTACAAGTTAGTGGGTGAAGGTTTGGGGTTTGAGCCCTGGGCTTGAGTCTTACGCTGGCTGTGTGTGATACTGAGTCTCCTACCCTTGTTGGGTCCTGGGTCCTACAGATAGCCCATGTGCCAGATGCTCAGTCAGCACTGCTCCAATGCAATCACATGACCCTTGACCCAGACAACTGGTTGTACATGTGGATGGGAGGGGAAGACCCAGGTGAGGCTCCAAGTTCCGCACCGTGGAATTCCAAGCATGACTCCAGGAAGGGCCCACTGATGGTGGGGACTTGTGGGAATGCTGCTATTTTGAAGGAAATTGGCTGAACAAATGCTGCCCTTTGACCTTTGGCTGCATTACACTCTAAAGAATGCATGACCAGAATTTGAAGGCAAAGTCCTGACTGTTCAACCTCTGGGGATGAAGAAGACACTCATTATTGCTTATTTTCTGGGCTGTGTTTTCCCCAAACATAGCTCCCTCTAAAAAGATGTAATATTTGAACAACTTGCTTTGATCATATGGAGTAGTTAGACTATTCAACATAAAAGCTACATGGATTTTGGCTCAGTGGGAAAGGCCTCTGCCACCAGGCTAGATGTCCTGATCCTGAGACCCTGTGATGAGAGGAGAGAACCGACTCCCACAGTTGTTCTCTGCCCCCACAGATGTGTGCCCTCGTGTGCAGCTGCATGTACATAAACAAATGCACACCGAAACACAAGCACACTCCCCCACAATGAATTAATGCAAGGAAATACAAATTTAAGTGTACTGATTTGCTATGCCAGCTCTGACTGCAATATGTACTTTGCAACTTTGCAACATTAGACATAGAGCCTAATATTGAGATATCAATCTATGAGCACAATGCTATTAGTGCCAACCCACAGGTACAACACTCTTAGTGACACTGGATATGCTAAGCGCTTGGACCTGGCACCATATAATTGTTGTGGGTGTTTAAAATTATTTTATTCCCTGCCTATATGACTGTGCACCATGTGCACACAAAACCCAGAAGAGTTTCCTGGGACTGGTGTTACTGTGAGCTGCCATGAAGGTCTTGGGATCAACCCGGGGACCTCAGGAAGAGCAGCTCATGTTCTGAACAGCTGAGCCATCTCTCCAGCCCCGGGTGTTCCTATTTTGGGGATGGTTCTCTCTAAGGAGCCCTGACTGGTCTGAAACTGTCCGTGCAGATCAGCATAGACTCAGAATTGCAGCAGTCCTCCTGAGCATGCCTCTAGAGTGTTGGGATTACAGGCATGCATCACCATGCCTGGCCATCCCATGATCATTAAACCCAGAAACAGCCACAGTATCCAGTCCCGTGGTTTACAGGTTTGAGTTTGTATAACCAAGTCAGCGCATAATTTCACATAATTATTTTAAGACAACTTACTACTACTTATTACAATTACAATTACTTTTCCTGTCACCACGATCAACAAAACATAAATGTGGGTAGAAAACAACCCTAAGTACGAGTTAAAGAAACACAAACTTGGGGGGAGGCACCCAATAACCCAATACTTCTCGTCACTTCTACTGTTAACAACCGTTCCCGGTGAGGATAATCATGGATTTTCTTCCAGGCGCCCAACAGAAGTTCTTAGTAGAATATTGGCTTGCTCAGGGCCTGGCAGGGAGGCTGGGACTGCAAGGCAGCTCCCGGCACTACCAGGTGCTCCAGCTCCTGGGGCCTTTCTTCAGTGACAACACAACAGAGAGGTTTTAGCTAGTGAAGAAAGGCTCTCTTCTCTCTCCGGCTGACTTAGCCCCGGTTTCCCCCCCACAATAGCCATTATGCGTCTGTGTATAACAGAGCACTTGAAGAGGCTCAGCCCTATCCAGCTAATGTTTATTTGTCAACTCAGCAACACTGCAAGTGTGAGGTCTGGCAGAGCTCTTACTTCTGGTGGCCTCTGGGGACTTGTTCCCATCTACCTGGGCACGGCCCGATGGGACCTTGACTCCACGGCCCAGCAGCGTGCCTTTGTGTCTCTTCACTCGAAGGCCCCTCTCTTTCCACTGCCCTTGACATTTTCTGAGATTAGCTTTATCAACAGTTTCCAGCGTTTACACTCCCCTGAGTTGTTTGTACAACCTTTACTCTCCTGGTGGTTATTTACACTCTCAAGCAGTCTTCGTCCAGAGCAGACTAGCAAACCCTCCACCAGTGCCTGTAAGTTTCTTGTCAGGTGAGTCCTACAGTGATGCTCAGAGACAACTTAGGGGCTGTCCCCAAATACTTTCTAAGAACCTAAGGAAAGGAAGGGAAGATGCCACCTATTCTTTAACTAGTGATGTGAGAGACATCGCAACGGTAGGCAAAGCAAACAGTTGGGTGTGTATCCCATGGTGCAACTGTAGACCATGAGTTAAACTCCTAAAAGTAACATAAGATTCACCAACATCTTCTTTAGTAGATAAAGATACAGTACATGTATAGTTAATATGTCTTCTATTTATCTTTACTTTTTGCGTTTTGTTTCTTTAATCCCTGGGACCTTGCTGACCTGAGTGGGAACCCCCTCCTCCCCCAGCTAGTTAATCTCTGCGGTGGCAAACTGATTACTCATGACTTGTTCGCACACAGCCAGAATAACCCAGCCAGTCTAGAGCCCCACAGCCAACCACGTCCCATGTTAGGAAGTCAGACCAAAGGCGGCAGGGCAGAGGACCAGCCGGCTGGAGCGGCCCACGTGCCGAAAGCCTGCTGAGGGACTTCAGATGAGCATACTCGAACCATTTTTCTCTGCCTGCTCTAGTTCCCCCCTGACCTGCTGCTTCTCCACACAGCTGGGCTCAGCTCTTACTGTAGGGATATGTGAATATAGCACAGTATCTTTTCAGTGGTAGTCATATGAGCTGGAGACCTCAGGTACCCAAATAATAGTAACACATCATTTCAATTGCGCAGACAAAGAAAGCAGGGAAACAGTAGCGCACACACCTGGGCCCTGTATTTTAGCCAATATTTAAAAAGACTTGGATAAGACTTACTTTGCCAACTATATTTAGCAAAACTACACTTCAACTTTCTCAAGGAAAAAGAAACTGTGACTTTAACATAAATCAGTGTATCTTACTGGGTAGAAAGGTACTCACTAGCGCCACTAGGGAGAGCTGTGAGGCAGGCATCCTCTTTACAGTGAACCTCTTACAAAGGTCTGAGGGTCCTTGATTCAAGCACATACTAAAGCCAACAGTGAAAGGGACTTCTGAGGAAATTAAAAGCAGGGGGTGGAGGGAGAGCATAGTGGTTAAGGGCATCTGTTGCTCTTGCAGAGGCCTCAGGTTCGATTCCCAGCACCCACATGGCAACTCACAACTGCCTGTAACTCCAGTTGCAGGGGATCTGAGACCCTCTTCTGGTATACAAACATACATGCAGGCAAAACACGCATACACAAAATAAAAATAAATCTCTTTTAAAAATAATAAAATAAAATCAGACTCCACTCATCTGTATAACAAAGCTACAGCTTAGTCTCGAATGTTCTTAATCTCAAATGATACACCCATGATGGCTTTACCCAGGTGATTCAGAGCTCCTCCTTAGGGCTTGCTTCTCTCTGTGACACAGGAAGCATAATTTGATTTTGTGTGCTGAGCAGCTGACATACAGTGGCTGTTAAATGGTCATTTACTGACTACATAGATGTTTCTGACCATCACTGACTAATACTGATAGATCAAAGAAGTGGTGGTGCACGCCTTTAATCCTAGCAGTTGGGACACAGAGGCAGGCAAATCTCTGAGTTTGGGGCCAGCCTGGTCTACAGATCAAGTTCTGGGACAGCCAGGACTACACAGAGAAACCCTGTCTCAAAGAACCAAAACAAAACGGGGGGGGGGGTGTCTCTAAGAAATTGAGACAATGATTTGTTTTTCAGAGTTGTGCATTAATTCTGTGCTTCTTTGGCCCAAATCATTATGTAGGATTAATGTCACGACAATATCTCGCCTCCTGGAGAGCAACTTGAGACACTTAGCTGGTTGCATAGATATTTTGACACACCCCGGTCCATTGCTGATCACCGTACCCTGTCTAATTCTGCAGCTCCATCCTACTCCCAGCTTTCCAAAGTTCTCAGAGTGTATGGTGCCATACTGCCGAGACACTTACCAAGGGCTCCAGCTCCTTGCGGTCTATGAGGTTCATCTCCGTGACGAAGTAATAGAAGTGTTTGTAGCAGGTGTTGACATGAGCCTCTGCACCCATCACAATGACCCGGTCAAAGTGGTGAATGTAGACGTGGACAAAAACCCGGAAAAGGCGGCACAGGATCTTCTTGCAGATCTGAAGGAAGTTCTTTGGGAAGGGAACACCTAAAGGAACAAAAAGGAAACGCTATGAAGCCACTAGGAAGGATCTTTCCCACTCTTACCTCCAAGAGGAGAAAAATGGTGGCTGGGGGGTGCTGTGGTGGGGAGGGGAAACCGGCACATCTTACCAGCACACAGGACCCAAGGGGAAAAGGACTGCGGCAGATTAAAAAGCACTGTCCCACTTCCAGGACCAAGCGGGTGGCTGCTCCACTCCAGCTGCCCGGGTTCAGAGTGGGATAGAGACTTGGGATATCAGAACGTTGGGTAATTTGGGAAATCTGGAGTTTTGTGTAAACCCATTGTCTTTTTAAAAAGGTTAACAGCTAATCTGAAGTTTGGAAAATACCTGCTGCTGAAACAAAACATCTCTCTGCATTAGATGCGCCCCACAAAGCTACCCATTTGCAAATTTTCATTCAAAGTGTTTCCCAAGGCATTGTCTCCAAGGTGGACAATTCACAGACCACCCACTCGGCTCCATCTCTCTGAGGGGCATAGGGAATTTATCTGCTGTGGGATGTTCTGTCAGGAGAATCTCCTGGTATCCTCCTCCCTCCAGGGCAGAATAGGAGAGATGGAATCTCTCCGGCAGTCGGTTGTGATGGGATCTGCCTCTCCGGGTCCCTGCATGGACACCAGCTTTGCTTGAACGTCAAAGTCAACACATTGAACGAACCCATGGAGAATGTGGGCACAGTATAGCGGCTGAATGATGCGGCAACAGGGGCCATGATTCAGAGATGAGGTAGACCCAGGGCAAAGATGGGGTGGGGGCAGCTACTTGAGTTTTAGGGCTTTCTCTGGAAAATGGGGCCACTAAACCACCACTGAATGTTGAGAGAGGGCCCAGAATCTTCGAATGAGTGTCTCATACAATTTTACTGAACTCCCTCCAAGACAAGTGAGACAAGTTGTAGAAGGTTGAATATGTCATCTTTACCTGTGAAATAGTTTTATTATTCCCATTTCACAGATGAGTAACAGAGGCTCTGAAGTATGGGCTGTAGTTTTACACAACAGTGGGGATGGGATTTCAAATCAGCCAAATTCTAAAACGCAAAGCACAGTTTGACTTTGCAGTTTGACTCGCCTTTGGGCCTGTGTGAGAGACACCACACAACTGTTCAGCATAATGAAGTATTTCAAATTAGGTCCTCAACAGCACAGGGGCCCAACAAGCAAACGGAGGGCGGTGGAGAGAGCAGGGCAGGGAGAAGAAGTTCCCAGCTTCAGAAGATGCCCTCCCAGGAACAGGTCAGTTAACGGTTACTTAGCTGCCAGAGGGGACAAATGCTTGTGGAAGAAGGGAGAACTTTGCAATAAAGAACAACTTTATCTAGCTTGTAGGGTGGGAAGAATCTGAAATTCCTTTTCCCTCAATCATTAACTCCATTTGTTCTTTCACTCTAAGTTTCCAGGCAATGAAAGATAAGCTTCAGTCATTGCATCCAATCAGAAAGTTATGTAGGACAGTCTCCACTGCAGTAGACTGCATGTCTTAGGACAGTGTTGACCTACAGTCTCCACTGCAGCAGGCTGCATGTCTTAGGACAGTGTTGACCTACAGTCTCCACTGCAGTAGACTGCATGTCTTAGGACAGTGTTGACCTACAGTCTCCACTGCAGCAGGCTGCATGTCTTAGGACAGTGTTGACCTACAGTCTCCACTGCAGCAGGCTGCATGTCTTAGGACAGTGTTGACCCACAGTCTCCACTGCAGCAGGCTGCATGTCTTAGGACAGTGTTGACCTACAGTCTCCACTGCAGTAGACTGCATGTCTTAGGACAGTGTTGACCTACAGTCTCCACTGCAGCAGGCTGCATGTCTTAGGACAGTCTTCACTGGAGTGGACTGCATGTCCTAGGTGTTTAGAGCTAAACTTTGACTAACTTCATGGTAACCCGGACACAAAGATGACAATCATCCTGGATAGGTAGATAAGAATTGAGATAGAAAATGAGAAAGATGACCGGCAGATCTCTACGTGATTTACAGTTGAGAACTAAGTCTCTATTGAGAATATGCCTTTCCTCTGTCCTACCCAATCTATCTGACATCCTGTGACTCTCAGATTAAGGCTGGGAAAATTTAAATTCCAAGAAGAAAACATATTCAGATGAGTGATCTACAAAAAAACTAGGACTTTGACGCCCTTGGGTCATGTGGTGTGCCTTGGTCTTTACAAATGGGTCAGTACTGAAACAGAATTCATGGACCCAAAGTAGGACTAGGATGAGCTCAGATTCCAGAATGAGAGGTGGGCACAACATGTCTGGGCAGAGGTCAGAACCCAAGGCATTCACTCATAAGGTTCCAGCAGGCCAGGGATTGGGGCAAGGACGAGGTGGATCTGTGGGCTGGGTGTTGACGAGACTTCTCCACAACCCTGGCTGCTGTTCCAGAGGTCTTGGTACTCTGTCAGAAGCCAGCATCCGAACAAAGCCCTGCTGAGTTTATGAATTGTCTAACCACAACGTTCTGATCTCCAAGCCACATTCAGCAAGAGCTGAACCTAGCACAGAATATAACCCCTCTGCAGTCTGTGCAGACTTCCCTTTGATCTCTGACTTAGTAAATCTCTTTTCTCCCAAAGAAAATTAAACACAAATTCCAGTAAATTCTGAGCTTTAACCCACCTTTTTCTTGCTTGCTTTTTCTTTCCTCTTCCCTCCCTTCCACTAGGACTGCAGACACCCATGAATATTTCCTTTTAAGACTCTTCTAAAGAAAAACAAATTGTGGCTTGTGTGATTCCTCTTTTATAGACCAGAGAAAAACACACACACACACACACCCGGGGGGGGAGGGGCGGGGGGACTTCAGAGAAAACAGAAGGCTGACATAGGGTCCAAAGCTACAGGGGCAGTTTCTAAGCTATGAGATGGTCTCTCTTTCCCCTGGTGAGAAAAGCCGATGCTTGGCAATGAGACTGTGACCTGTGGTCAGTGCTGGGCTAAACCCTGGGCTCTGGAGGAACAGAGCAGAAGGACCTGTCTCTACAGACTTCGGAGAGCTCTCTTCAAATATCATAAGTTCCATAAGCAACTGGCTGATTCCTCAGTGCTTGTAGATACTTGGTCAATGACTGTTCTTCCCTCATCCTGAGTCAGGGCTATGGCATCTGCTGTCTGTCTCCTGAGATCTTCTTGTGCAGGTCACAGACCATAGCACAGCTATTAAGAATCCTGCTTTGGAAGCCGGGTGGTGGTGGCACACGCCTTTAATCCCAGCACTCAGGAGGCAGAGGTAGATGGATCTCTGTGAGTTCAAGATCAGCTCGGTCTACAAGAAGTAGTTCCAGGACAGCCTCCAAAGCCACAGAGAAACCCTGTCTCGAAAAACAAAACAAACAAACAAACAAACAAAAAATCCTGCTTTGGGACTATGCCCTCCATAAAGACAGGGGCTGTGTCAGTCCCTCTCATAGATGGCTCCTTATTGCCCATCAGGATGGGTATGAAATACCTGTTTAGATTACTCTCCAGTAGGGTGGAGATCCTCTGTCATCACCTGACAGTGACATCAAAGCTCAGAAAGGGAAAGGACCAACTCAGGGCTTTCAGAGCTTCCAGGACTTGAGATGAAAGGGGTCTGAATTCAAGTGTGCTAACTCTAGAGACGGTTGCTTTTCACTGTGCTGGGGGAGCTTTACTGAGTTCTCATGGTTCCTTTTCATTCGATCCAACTGGGAAGATCAAAGGCACAGACTTGTAGACCAGGCTGGTCTCGAACTCACAGAAGGTAGAATACGGTAGCCTGGTTCTTACTTCTCTAACCCTAAGTGCCAGGGCTAGGGCACTATTGGTCATCCCTGTGTCAGATCTCACCTCCATGCTGCCCATCCCGAGGCAGGCTTGCTATTATAACTTCCGGGAGGCTCAGTGTCCTTAGCTGAGGAATGGTGACACTGAAATGCGCGGTTGAGACTCGGTGCAGGCAGACACACAGAAGGCAGGCAGTGGACAGGGCTGGGTAGTCCTAGTGCTATAGACAGCTCTTTCTTGTCACAGCCAAGATGGTGTGGAGGGAGGCAAATGAAACCAGACAGGGCAAGATGCTCTTACCCCAATGACAAAGATTTCTCTGAAAAGCCGACTTGGAAGAACACTGATATTTGGGCACACCACGTGAGCTGTCAAAGGAGCTTGTCATGACACAGGAAACCCCAGTCTATCCTTTCGGGACCCAAATCTCGTGTCAGTCACAACGACCAGAAACATTCGCCTTTCTTCTTTACGCAGATTTGAGGGCATTTGTCTTGTCCTTTTGTCTTTGGAGTCCAGTAATAGGAGTGTGCATGTGAAAATCCCTGTACAAGTCATAAAAATCACTCATTCTTAATGGCTCTCGAGAAAAAACAATATCCCACACACGTGAGAAAAGAAAACAGACTTTTGGCAGCAACGCTGAGAACATACCATTTCCAGAATTCTTGCAAGACAAAGTGCAGTTGGATCACAAGGGGGAAGAAACGAACACAGATGTTTCTTAAGACTTTACATGCTTTACTCGCTTGCTCTTCCTACCCAGCCCCGTTGCCCGGCCTCCCGAAAAGCGTCCTGATCTGCGGAAGCCTCGCGCTCTCCGCGATGCGGGGACACACCAGCTGCAGGGAGCGGAGCTCTTTCAGCAGATGTTTCGCGTTATCTCGGTGTGCGCCTCAAGAAAGTGTCTGTTCGCTGTGCCAAAGCAAACAATTGCATGGCGCAGGACTTTGTTCCTCTGCCGAAAAAGAAAAGCGTCCCCAAACAGGCTGACAGCTGCAAATGGTTAGAAATAAACCGGCCACCCCTCTACTCTACACCTCCCTTCCCCTGTCCGTTCCCAGTCCCTTTGTGTTGCCCTCTAGTCTCGCACAGTGGTTGGAGCGAAAGAAAGGAAAAGATTAACGTGTGATTATACGTTCTAAACAGATTATTAATTCGTTCAGACATGCTATTTTCCAGGCATAGGAAGCACTGTTTCAGCCACACAAAGGAGCAACTGTAAATACAATATG